CTTGAAACATCACTAGCCCTGAAGCTGCTGGTAGACATCGTGGTTGGAATTATCAAAGGTTGAGAGACACCGTAGCAGCTCCTTTGCGTTTGGAAGCGGGGGTGGGGGGTGGGGGGAGGACCAGGGAGGATGATTCAACCACTCAACCACTAGATGTCGCTGAAAACAACAAATCCTACACACTGTGCCTTTAAAGCCAGTGTTGACTATAAAACCACATCTCCCATAGTGCTTGTTGATTCATTTACATGCAAAATGACAGCATCCCACCACTAGATGGAGCTGCACAGGATTCAAAAGTAGCCAGAAGTCAACAAAATTGTATACTGCTGTGTAAAATCTACAGTTAGCTGCATTTTTMCTACAGCCCAGTTGTACTGGGAAGTGGGAATTTRCTACTTACAAGTCATAAATTTAAACTGGACGGCCCCTTCAGTGGGAATTCTCTGTCGGTAAGTGGGACGAGTTCAGATTAGAAGATGGTAGCTACTTAACGCAACTCAATGGTGAGTAAAACTTATTTTTACTTATAAAAGTATCTCTGTTATTTTTTTTCACATTTAGACTGCCAGACACATAATATTTTTCAGTGTTTATAGGAGGACATGTTAAAACACTGTTTCTATGCCGGAAATACCAGGTAGAGCAAAGTTATTGCTGTTAGCTTTGCTCAGCTAACAAATGTAACATTTCGTGTTTTAGTCGAAGACTAAACGAAACGTTGAAGTTTATTAAAACTGGTCTTTTGAGGGCCTCCATAATGTTCGTACCGTCCCCATGTGTCCGTGATACCGAATATTTGTCTCTGTGTCGCAGGGTGTACCCTGCCTATCTCCAGGGACCTTGCGTCAAAAAAGCAGGTAAAGATGATTGACAGACYGATGGTTTGAATTCCTCACCTGCAGAAGAGCGACATCTCAGAAAGCGCGTCCATAAAAGGACCGACAACAAGCTGCAACGTAAAGGAAAAAGTTGTTTAAACTGAAAATAACTGGCTTTAATTTTAACTGAAATCCCGATAAASAGATTTTGCACCTGGGAAAAAGCCGAAGCAAAGTGCGGCTGCTGGAGGACCTGCAGCTCGAGCAGGTGGCACACTCCTTCTCTCATTAAGGATTTATTCTCACTGTGGAACATCCGCTGATGCACACACAGCAGCCAGGARGGGTGGAGGAGGCCCCGGCCCGATGCTGAAACACACACGCACCCACAACACTGACACTTCCAAAAGGCTAATGTTTTAAAAAAAAGTTTTACAAGAAAATAAAAAGTTTTGATCAATCTTTATTTATTTAAACATTGTTGTTTTACCTTGACTGACATTCGCTGCTGTTTGGATCAGTGTGTCGATTCTGTTTAAAACTGGCCGGACAACGTGAACCTGCAGAGAAACAAGACAAATGCAACAGGTTATTTCAGAAAAGCTCAATGAAACTCAGGCATAAAAAGCAACATTTTCTTTAATCCCCACCTGGTTTTCCTCCAGAGTTTCCATCACCAAAACATAATCCTCCCAGAACTCTGTCAGCAGRCTGCTGTGGTCAGGGGCCCATCTGAACAACACCTCCTCTGCAGCAGCGACACAAACGGTTGTGAAAAGACTAGGGTTGTGAAATTAATCGCGTTAACTCTGATTAATTTTAGTGCTGCGTGGGCATAGATTAAAAATTTTAATCGCGATTAAAATTTACAATCACACAATTTACTCTGGCTGAATATGTGGGTTTGTATATTGCAATGCACTCAGTGCATGCCAGGTCATGTTTGTAAAT